GATTAGACGTTTTTTTTATTATTGTCATAGTGATTATCTCAATTTCGGCTAAAAGAATTGACAAAATCCTACACACTGTGCCTTTAAATCACCATTTCACAGAAGTTTTGCTGACTACTTTTGCTGCAGCCCAGTTCTACTGGGAAGTGGGAATTCCCCATTTACTTAAGTTTAAGTTAAACTCCAATGCTGGAAAGTGGGAAAGTTCAGAATTCAAGATGGCAACTACTCACCCCAACTCAACAGTGAGTAAAACTCTTGTATTTTTATTAGTATTTCTGTAGTATTTATTTCACATTTACTCAGTCAACGTTGCCCTTTGTCACCGATTCTGTTCATAACTTTTATGGACAGAATTTCTAGGTGCAGTCGAGGTGTTGAGGAGATCCGTTTTGGTGATCTCAGGATCTCTTTTTGTGGATGATGTGGTCCTGTTGGCTTCATCAGATCATGACCTCCAGCTCTCACTGGAGCGGTTCATAGCCGAGTGTGAAGCAGCCGGGATGAGGATCAGTGCCTCCAAATCTGAGACTATGGTCTTGAGCTGRAAAAATGGTAGGGTACCTTCTCCGGGTCGGAGAGGAGGTCCTGCCCCAAGTGGAGGAGTTTAAGTATCTCGGGGTCTGGTTCACGAATGAGGGAAGAATGGAGCGGGAGATCGACAGGCGGATTGGTGCTGCATCTGCAGTGATGCGAGTGCTGTACCGGTCTGTCGTGGTGAAGCGGGAGCTGATCCAGAAGATGGTCGGTATACTTTCCTACCCTCATCTATGGTCACGAACTTTGGGTAGTGACTGAAAGAAAGAGATCACAGATACAAGCAGCTGAAATGGGTTTCCTCCGCAGGGTGTCTGGGCTCTCCCTTAGAGATAGGGTGAGAAGCTCAGTCATCTGGGAGGGACTCAGAGTAGAGCTGCTGCTCCTCCACGTCGAGAGGAGCCAGTTGAGGTGGTTCATCTGGTTAGGATGCCTCCCTGGTGAGGTGTTCCGGGCACGTCCCACTAGGAGGAGGGCCAGAGGAAGACCCAGGACACGCTGGAGGGACTGTGTTTCTCAACTGGCCTGGGAACACCTTGGGTTTCCCCCGGACGAGCTGACCCAAGTGGCTGGGGAGAGGGAAGTCTGGGTCTCTGCTGCTGCTCCCGAGTCCTGACCCCAGATAAATRGAAGGAAACGGACGGATTTACTCAGTCGTACACGCAGTACTAAGATGACGTGTTAAAACACTGTTTCTATGCAGGAAACACCATGTAGAGCTCAGTTATTGTTTTAGTTTTGCTCGACCTTAGCAGAGATGAGGAACGTGAAGTTAATTACCGGTACAACTGGCCCTTTGAGGGCCACCATAATGTGGTCCTCAGTCCCTGCTCTAAAAGAACGTGAACGGCATGACGTTGGCTTGAAATGTATCATTTCAATTAAACATTTTAAATCTTTTGGRACAATGTTTTTATAATGAAGATAAGACCAAATGAGAGATATTTAGTCAGAATGTGCAGCGTCATAAATGAAACTAAGCTGCGTTTTGACACAAAAACTATCAGTGATTGTCATTACGTTGATCGTGAACTCCTCTGAAGACCAAAGGATTYTGAACTCGAATGTGAAGTTATCTGACAGTTGAAGCTTGGACCATTCTGAGTCACGATGCAACAAAACAATAATCCCAGACCCAGCAACTAACCTGCAGCAGAACAGCTAAAAGAATCAAGGTGTTGCACCAGTCCAGACTATCACCTGATTAAAACCCTGCAGCAGAGCAGACAGCAGCGTCTGCACATTTTAAAGAACTGATGCAACGATGGAAAGAGGAGACACTCATAAAGTCAAACAGAAAACCACTGCTGAGAGTTAAATCTTGTTTTTCTACACACAACTTTTCCAGTTTCACTTCATGATGTCTCTTGAGGTCAGATTTAAATTATATAAGAACAAAACCAGATCTGATTCAAAGCGATCTAAGAACTGATTAAAGGTTTCCCCACTTATTTTAATGAAAAATATTGCATTTTAATCTAAGTTTAAACAAAACCTATGAGCAGTTTCAACGAGCTAAAGACGAACATCCCAAATCATCTTCATCTACAACATAAAGAAAGCTRCATCAGGTAATTAAAATATGATGAATTACAACACGCCTGCACCTCTTTTACGTTGGAGTAGAAATACTTTGTGGTCTTGTTTTCCATATAAACCATAGAAAAAGCAGAACTTTGTTTGAAAAAATGGAGCAATCAGAGCTTAAGTTGCACAAAGTGGCCAATTTCATCCTTTAAACCTCATGTGACCTTAACATTATSTCACAAACAAACATCTGTTATTTTCACTCCACTCTAAATACTTTTCAGCACATTCCTTCATTTTCCTTTTTATTTAATGAGAATCCTTCAAACTGATTAAGATTTAAACGTGTTATTTAACAGAACAGTAATAGAATAAGAAAATATGTTATGATGACAAAAACAGAGTCACAAAGTAATAATTGAGTAAAAATAAAAAAAATTACTTTGTTAAAACTTAAAGTCTCCTTTGGGAATATTACTTCAGTGAAAGTCTTAAAGTATCTGTTATTT